TACGTAAGGAAGTTTGGATGGAGGGTTTGCATCGCGAACATGATAGAAACAGAGAAGGTAAGGACACAAGAGGCGAGGGCGATGGAGGCGAGCAGGCAAGTCAGAAGAATGCCGAGAGAAAGCGGAAGGCGAACGATAGAGCGCGCAAAATCTCCATTAGGGAAAAGCGCAAGCTGAGAGTCGGGTCGTGGAACGTGTGCGGGTTCGCAAGCAGTGAGCGCAAGCGGTTGGAAATAGTGGACCAAGTAGAAGAAAGCGATCTAGATGTAGTGGGGATCCAAGAGACGTGGGAATTGAAGGATGGTGACGTGGTAAGCAAACTAGGGAAATACCGGTGGGTAGGGAAGGCAAGAAAGGGCTTAGACCCGAAGAAAAGGGGGGGGGGGGGGATCGGATTCCTGGTCAAGGAACACTTGTTTGACGTGGTGGAAGAAGTAGTGAAAACTGAGTTCGAGGAAAGCCTATGGCTTGAGATACCTGAGGAGCGGGGTGAGAAAGATTTGTTTCTAGGGAACGTACACGTCCCACCGTAGATAAAGGCTGACCATTTGACTACGTGCACAGTCATCGATGACTGTGCACGTAGCCAAATGGTCAGCCTATGACTGTGCACGTAGTCAAATGGTCAGCCTTTATCTAATAGGGAAAGCTTCCAGTAAAGGACAGGCGATCGGGCAGCACGGAGAAGACAAAGTGAATGACAACGGAGTGAGGATGCTTGAATTCTTGGGAAGCAACGAACTGATGGTGTTGAACGGTAGGAGGGCATGCGATAAGCCGGAGTTCACCAGGCAACGGGCAGCTTGCAATGAATACTCAATCCTCGACTACATCCTGGTAGATAGGGGGAGCACGCAGATCCCAGAGCTGCACGTGAGTGCGATAGATATAGCTTCGACCGACCACTTCCTCATATGGGCAAACATCGACCGATCTAGGAAGATGGAGAGTAAGAAACAGAGGAAAGTGTTCCGGTGGAAAGTAGAGCATTTGGGAGACGAGGGGACACGGGATGAATTTCAGAAGGGACTGGCTGGTAGTGTAGAACCCTTAAGAAAACTGCTGAGAAGCGTCGAAGACGGACAGGTAGACGTACAAGCAGCAGGGGACAGGGTGATTGAAGGGTGGGAGTCCATAGTGAACGTAACGGTAGAGAAGAGTAGTGGGAAAGAAGGTGGTACGATGTGGGGTATCGGTTAAGTGGTGGGATGACGAGCTGACAGAACAAATAGGGGAACGTAGAGAAGTGTTTAAGCAGTACCTGAGTGAGACGTCTGAGGAGAGTTGGGAAAAGTACAGGGCCAAGAAAAAACAGGTGAAGGGACTAGTGAAGAAGAAGAAAAAGTGTAATTGGGACGAAGTAGTACAGAACGCCAACGGACTCTCTCTCCCTTCCCCTTCCCTCGTCCGAGGCACTGCCCCCTTCACCATCCTCCTCCACCTGGGCATCGACCCCCCTCTTGTGTTTGTCTTCATCCTTCACGTGCCCTTGGTCTCCCCCATTATCTGACGTACGAGAAAAAAAATGACCCGCGTCAGGTGTCTGTGACCTTCTGTTTCTGCGCATTTCGCTTGTTTGACGCAAGTAGTATTCCTCCCCACCCCTTTTACTTCGTGGGGCTAACACCTGAAACCCTGGCATTGCCATTGCCTCCATTGCCATCCTCTGATCTGCGCTGAGGCGCATTGCCCCTTCCCCCNCGAGAAAAAAAATGACCCGCGTCAGGTGTCTGTGACCTTCTGTTTCTGCGCATTTCGCTTGTTTGACGCAAGTAGTATTCCTCCCCACCCCTTTTACTTCGTGGGGCTAACACCTGAAACCCTGGCATTGCCATTGCCTCCATTGCCATCCTCTGATCTGCGCTGAGGCGCATTGCCCCTGCCCCCGAGCCTCTCGTCGGACTCCTTCCCCGACTCGCAGACACATGACTCTCCCACATTTCTCTGCCTCGATCTGAAGTGATCTGCGTCAGTCCTTTTGCTAGACTTGAAGACACACCTTTTTCCAAGTCACCCACCGCCGTCCCACCCTTGTGCGACACACTTTCCCCCCCAGCGTGCGCACTACCCTCGTAACCGCCCTTACCCCCAGGCCTTCCACCCTTTCCTCCAGAGACCTCAGCCTCTGTCCGTTGTGCATCCTCGGATGTCTGCTGTACACTCTTAGATAGCACTTCCCTTGTCTGACGTGAGTCTCCAACTTCAACGTCTCCCCCCGACATCGTTTTCCTTTCCTCCCAAGGTCTCTCTGTCATCGCTTCCCCTTTCACTGACAGCGCTTTAGCCGCCGACTCATCCCCTCCCGTCGACAACTCATCCATCCCACCGCCCTTAGAACCACTGCCACCCGTGTGGTCCGAGTGCCCAGCCCTTCCTTCATCGCTGTTCACTTCCCCCCCCTCACCTCTCTGTGCCATGGGAAGAACACACCGCAAGCGGTGCGCTAACCGCATCGCCCCTCCTTCGGTGCCAGTGACGTGGAATCGGCCGGCGGTGGCCTATCGCGCGTAAATACATGTGTAGATGTCCCAGTGGGGTCGTGGGTTTTCGCGTCTCGAAGTTGCTTGCGATCAAAGTGTGTTTCTTAGGCCTTCGTGGGCGGGGAACAGCAGGGAAACCGAACACTGAAAAAGGGGGGCACGTGACATCAGTTGACACGAGCTAATTGCGCCGCTTCACCTGTATCTATCCAATTGCGCCGCTTCACTTTCTCTCCAACTCTCTCTCACTTTCTCTCAAATAACTGCAATTCCCTCATAAGCTCATCCTTCCAACCATAAACCCACACCTCCTCAATTCTAGCCTCCAACTCATACACTTTTCATGACCTTATTTGACGATATCTCAATTAGAACTAACTCCAACCTTGCTCCCAGAGCTATCATTTCCAAGTCCATTCCGTCACGCCTCACCATATATTCTGCGATTAAACTACCCCAAGTCTTCTTCCCCTGACCTAACCTAGGGTTGACTTATTGTACGACATGCCGTAGACTTGTTTCCAGGAACAACCGAGACGTTTTGGTACCACACGAGAACAGTCTGTCCCTGTCCCCGATAGAAATCGCCCATTCTGGCATCAACACGAGGAACTGCCCCACACATCCCTCATTTTTCTTGTTGAAAAATCGTTCGGTCATTGTTGCAAGGGCGCACCCGATGCCTCGATGCCTTCGTCGTCGCCTTGAGCCAAGCATGCGAGGGAGGGAAGAAGCGCTGGTATGCGTCAACACTGGAGCTGCAGCTGACCTCGCTGGACCCGTGCAGGGCGTGCCGAAGGACGTCGATCTTGCACGTGCGTGTGAATGACCAGACTCCTCGAAGCTTATGGCCTTCTCGCACAGCACAGACCCGGCCGAACACACCCAGCTCGAAGCCCCTATCTCAAGTCGTGTACCGGTCGTGCAGGCTATTCGTTTGACGTGGGCCCTGTCCATGAAAGATCTGCTGAGGGATGCTGCCATCGAGCTGTGGACGTAGTCACAACGTCTTGAGCTGCAGGGATCGTCGTGTGCGTCTAGCCTGGGATCAGAAGTGGTTTGGCCCCGAGGGCTGACACAGATGACATTGTTCGCAGATTCGGATTTTGCCATGGAGAACGTGTGGTGGCAGGTGCAATTGCAATATCTGGCACTTCGGGGAAATTTCAATCAGTCCATTGCCGGAGTCGTATGGCCGGCGTCCCTGCAACAGCTATCGTTCGGGCCCAACTTCAATCAACCTATTTGCCGGGGTCACATGGCCGGCGTCCCTGCAAGAGCTGTCATTCGGTGACAACTTCAATCAGCCCATTGCCGGAGTCGTGTGGCTGTCCTCCCTGCAACAGCTATCATCGTTCGGGATATGTTTCAATCAGCCTATCGCCGGAGTCGTGTGGCCGGTTTCTCTGCACAAGCTGTCGTTCGGGGACAGTTTCGATGAACCTATCGCCGGAGTCGTGTGGCCATATTCGCTTCGACCTGTGACACGTGGTGGAGAAAACCTGTTGTGAAAGGTTTGGGAATCTCGGTAGAAGATTATTTTGTCCGTGTGAAACACATGTGACTGACTCGTTCTCCGCATGTAATAAATCTCTTGGGTTCATGTTGACCCGTAAAGGTCTTTCCACCATGTGTGGTATTGTGTGTGGGTGTGATGTCTTGCGCGTCGTATAGGTCAAGTCTGTATGGACGATAACAAGCTGACCGCTTCGGGGTCAGTTGCGTTGTCGTCGACGTGCGCATCGTCAAGAGTTTGATTTCTTGAAGGCTACAAATGTTTTGCTACGACGTTTACCTGGACTAGAGCTTACTGAAGTGCCCACCGTTGGTATACCAAGGGATATGTTCGAGAGGGGCGAACATGAAGGTTCGCTCTTTGATATCCAGGAACGCTGTCCGCTAAGGTGCCGTCACTGGAGCGACAGGTGGCTGGAGATGAAGCCATTGTACGTGGTGTGACAATGAGTTTTTCTCTCGAACGTAGACGATTGATGGGCTGGTGTCAAACATTCGTCGTGGTTTGTGCCGCGTGAAGGTCTATTTCTCGTCGGTACCGAATAACTGTGTTGCCAATTATCCGGCCGAACCAGGGTGTGTGTTGTACGTTGTGTTTCGTCCCAGCTGCTCTGGGGGCCAGGTCTTCTCGTTTGTGTCAATGTATCGAAGGCACTGCGGTTCTTCGATGAGCTCTATTTGTGTAGACTATGCATAACTCCTTTGTAGGATACGTCACCGGTGACGCTGACTGTTTGGGTATGTTTCTGGCTCTGTTCTGCTACAGTATATTGTGACGTTTTTGGTTTGTCTGGGTCCTCTTTGCTTTTTCTTTTTGAGGATCTACCCAAACGCGAGTTGCCAGTTTGGGGTAGTCGGCCTGTGACTACGGGAAGGAGGCATCGGCGCCAGTGGCACCGGTACGGACCTTCACAGGTCCTGAGCAGAGACCAGACCGGGTTTTCATGTAAAAACATCCACTGCACTGCGGGCTTGCCCCTGCCTTGAGGGGGCACCACAGGGTAGTTCTCTGTGTGAGATACCCTGGACCCAATGTCTTCGGTTGGAAAGGCAACGTTTAGGGGTAGATTGAAAGAGGAGCGACGGAGTTCAATGGGACAGCAAAACAAAAAGTCATTGCCAGTCCTTTCAAGGCTTATCTCGAGCTTTCAGGTCTTAAGGCGATCATGTAAGGTATGACGGCTGAAGCGGAAAAAAACGCGGAAAAAGTCGGGACGACTGTTTAGATTTTACATAATTAAGAGACCACGAGAAGGTGTTCTGTCTCGCAATGTATGAGTGGTCAATGCTCAAATGGCTGAGGGTCTCTTCGCAACAATCAGGTTCTCCATGAAAGCAGCGTCTTGGTAGCATCGCGGAGACAGATCTTGGTCACATTTCAGAAGCAGCGCTTCAGTGAGAGCCGAAGACGCAACAAAGAACGGGGCAAACAAACACCACGCTCGTTTTTACTACGCTATGTGTGTCGAGGGTACAGATGCGTTGTTTCAGGAAACCTTCGATCTGCCATTGCTACTACGTGAATACCTTACGCCCTCACCGAACTGCAAACACGGGAAAATACACTAAAAAAACATATTCGAAAGCCAATGGCGCTATCTACAGGAGAATGGCGATCCATACAACGGTCAATGAAGACCGTCGCTTTCTTCGTGTCTACAACGATGGTGCCAACATCCTGATTCCACTCGATTGTTAACGACTACTCCGCCTATCCTTCCCGCCGCCCGCCTAACATACGTCTGCTCTTCTACTTGTTCATTGTCCCACACTCCGTGGAATATCTGTGCCTCCCTCAGAACTGTTCCATACTCCCATCATGTAGAAGAACAAACTTCGAACGAAAAATATCACTTCTTCTACTTCGTCCGTTTCTCTTCCTCCGTGTTGCGCATCTCAATAGACTTGGACGCGACCGTGATGACCGCCTGCATGGCCGCGGACCGAAAGCCGTTCTTCTCGAGAGACTCGATGGCCGCGATCGTCAGCCCCCCTGGGCTGCACACGTTGTCCTTCAGAACAGCTTCATAGTCACGACACGAGAAGCAGAGGTGTAGAAGAAGCGACAGGGACACACATCAAAAGGCGTACGTTTGACGGCATCGATCGACGAATGAATCCAGCGGAAAGGAGATCGAAGGCGATTCATCAAGACGTAGCCGCCGGCGGGGAGGGGTCATCAACGAGATGTCCCTCGTGTGCAGGGCCATTGAGGAACCCGCTGCTTCTACAGGGGCCGGAGGTATAGGGTGAAAGCGCAATCTCATCCGCCGACGAGCTTAACATATAAATGTCACACAAGGAGTCACCGCTGGGCAGGACAAAGGCACGTGGAAAATAGACACGCCAAGCACGTCGTCGGACATCCCGACAACAGCAACAACAAAACAGACGAACAGACGAACAAGTAACAGACGCGCAATCCACTGGAATAGATGGCACGCTAACCGGAGGTGGTATCGGTGTTTCGCGATTAATGGAGCGGCTTTGACTTGACAGCATGCTGATAGCCCTTACAAACATTATCGGCTGCACGCGTCCATAGCCAGTGAGAAAGTGGATTTTTCGTAGGGGTTGGGCATTAGATGCCGTTGCTCTGATATATGTGGTCCAACTAAAGTCTTTCAACATAAATTACAAGAAAAACGACCTTTGGTCGAGACCCACAAAACCATAGCGTCATACCACGCCAGCACCGCGAGAGAAAGGCCTCTGAAGATATAATCTAAACAAGGAGGGGTCATGTGAACGGTAGTAATATCCCTTCGGCCAGCGATGGGGACTTAACACCCTGCTCTACAAACCACGTGCCAGCCGCATCGTTGCTCGTTCTGCGCGAAGGAAAATACTGTTCAAAAACCGGCGACGAATTCACAAGCATTTTTTTGCCTACGAGTCAAGATAACCCACTCCTACCTGACACCTAGCCCAAAAAGCCCCGAACGTTCTTTTTGCCCACCTGGGTGTTCTCCCGTCTCTAAAACCATCTCCGCGGCACCCTTGACGGTCTGCGCGGCGAGTTTGATCGCCATCGCTCTCGGCAAGCCCATCCGGACGCCGCCGTCCGCCAGCGCTTCGATCAGCACGTAAATGTACGCCGGCCCGCTACCGCTAACACCGGTCAGGCCTGGTGAGCCGCAGATGGTAAAGAGAGATCGTTACTCACGTTTTGCATGTGTCCTCGAGAGGGAGGGGGCCACAGCATATTGTAAGGTACAGGGGGGGCGGGAGGGATATCGTGCATGAAAATGAATATTGTCAGCCATCGTCCGGGTGTCACCCCACAGGCCGTAAGCACGTGTAATCGCAGGGTACACACGGTGGAGTGCTAAAGCGGGACCGGCGGGGGGCC